GTGTATTTAATGCAAGTCTATGAATAAATAACCAAAGGGTGATCGATTTATAGCAGATTTATATATATTTACAAATTCTTTATTTTTTCCGAACACTTGTCGCCCCAGAATCTCTACTTGTCCAAGATCCCTCATTTTAAATAAAGCAAAATGCGTGGCGTTTAAAGCCATGGTACGACTATAACGTCCTCCGTGAAATATATTTTGAGTAATCAGAATAATTCTTATATTATGATGTCTACCTTTAGTAAAACATTCGAGAATAATTTCACTGTTACCAGCTTTTAAAAAAAGATCATCAACCCAATAATTATTGTATTTTCATCAGGTGATGCAATGACATTCTGCGGGTCGATAATATCTTTACTTAATGTTAATTTATGAGATATCTCTGAATCTTGTTCTAAGGGATGTGATGTCACCCCGCATATTATAATGTTATGAAATTTCTCATGGTATAACTTTAAAAATTTTGATGTGAAATTTAAAATTTGCCACTATTCGAATAACCGGCAATGATAATCCTTGATGGATAACGAAATATATCAACGTCAGCAGATGTGTATGTTGTCAAGTTCATTGTACTGTCGAGAGAGATTATGTTTACCATAGAGAGGTGACTTGTACACTGTAAGTGTTATTGGGTTTTCAAGATATATAACAGCTAAGTTAATGAGGAGTAACCTCCTGTTGCGGAGCGGGACTGCCTCACCAAAATTAGTTACTTTAGGGTGGCGATTGACACGGGTGTTCGGTAAGGAGATGCGTAATGTCCGCGTGATTTTCTACCTTGGGTGTGAACCGCATTACATGGCGTCTGTCTGACCTGAGTTGATGCAGGTGTTCGGTAAGGAGATGACTATGTGATTTTCTACCTTGGGTGTGAACCGCATTACTTGGCGTCTGTCTGACCTGAGTTGATGCAGGTGTTCGGTAAGGAGATGATTATCTTAAATCTACCTTGGGTGTGAACCGCATTATATGGTGTCGTCGGAGGGGGAAGGGGTGTACAAAAATCATGACACAATACTTTGGGGTGGCCCATATAAGGTCAAGGAGTCTCTCAGAGCGAGGATTGTGTTTCCATCCGTCAAGCCTGGCTGACCTCATCTTCCAACGCTGAACCGCACATCATGGAGAAAGGTAAATTGTACTTAGAAAATCTTGATATGTGGTGAAACAGATATTATTTAACAGGTTTAATGATTTAACGAGGAAAAAATGATTTGGGTTAATTTTTGTTGTTGGAGATACAAGTTTAAATTTTTACTGGGTTAAATGCATTAATAAGTGAAATTCTTAACAGAGGATAAGAAAGAATATACGCGAATTACTTGGAAAACTTAGTGAAGAGGAGATTGTCGATTAGAAGGCGACGATCGTTGGAAATCAAGAAAGGTGGTGTACATCGCAATGAGAGGTTGTTAGAATTGAAGAATGAGTGGGAACGCATAGATGTATTATGGAAGAAGGCTGTAGAAACAGGTATGTTTCCAATTGTGATCTTTTGTTGTGAAAAAAATTTATCGTAAAAATGTGCTAGTCACTCGAGAAAGATTTTTGTTCCATTCATTAAAATCTTAATTCGTAATATGTAAAAAACTGAGAAGGGTGAAAGATTTTGTTCTATTCATTGAAATCTTAATATTTTGGGTTATGAATTGGATATACTTTTTTCCTCTGCAAGAAATACACCTGATACTGTTGTGAATCAAACTGAGAGTAATGACACACAGCATGGAGGTGAGACGGGGAATGAAGATGAGAGTGCAGGTAGATCTGCTAGTGTTGGTACCACACAACGCGGAGGTGCGGCAGGGGGTGTGGATACTTCTGTCCCCATTAATGATGAGAGAGCAACTACCTCACATGACGTGTTTGACAGTAATGTCGCACACAATAGTGGAGGTGAAGATGAGAGACCAGAAATTATTACATATATCCAGAATTTTAGAGGTAGACATACAGTGAGGAAATATAGTGTTCCTTCAACTTATAACAGAGAGTTAAGAATGTATTTACATGTTTATAGGGATTATTTTATAGAACAGATGCGAGATATGTATGATAGATCACCTCTAGCAATGTCGCTCAGAATCCACCCAATTATAGTTATAAGGACATTACGTCAAAACATAACCCGGGGGATGAACAAAAATGGACAATTTGTGAAAATTTAGCGTTTGAGTTAGTAAGTGAAGAGGAAATCTCTGAAGTATTTTATCGATGGGTGGGAACGATATTAGAAAGATACGAGACAGAGTTGCAAGATCAGGAAGGATCTGGCTGGATCAAAGATCAAATCGAATCTTTCAGTATCGAATCGTTAAAGTAGAATTCAGAGTACAAGTAGGATCATATGTGGCATATCCCAAGAATCTGCGAGGGAGCCAATATGTATTTAATCCAGTGATTAATGACGGGTTAGGTGTACTGCGTGCTTTTGCTGTCTATCAATGTTATAAAAAGAACATGCCATGGAAAAATATTCGCAAAGCAGTTAATACTAAGGACGGATGTCTTTAATTATGCAAAATTTTTCTTTTAGATGATTTTCCCATTACAAAGTGATAAGTTAGGTATATTAGAGAAGGAAAATAAAGTGTCATTATATGTTTATCAATTAAGAAAGGATCAAGGTAGGACATTTGTGGCTATGTGTCGTAAGGGGAATAAGAAATATAAGGACATCATGTGTGCGTTATTGTTGAATGAAAGACATTTGGTTTTAATCAAAGATTTGACGGGTTGTTGAACGATAATGAAGGATCATGATGTAATGAAGCACTGTCATAGTTGTTTGATGAAGTTGAATACACAGGAAGAGTTAGATATCCACGAAGATGGATGTAAAATCAATCAGATTCTCGTATTCCTCCCGGAAGGAACAACAGTACTTTTAAAATTTAGTCATACACATTCCCGCGAATAATCGGTGTATTTGATTCGAATGTGGGATTAGACACCACTCTCCCGGCAGGTAAATTGAGTCTCGTCATAAAGCCATTGCCTATTGTTATATTTTTATTTGATCGCAAAGGAGAAATAGTGTGTATGAAGAGTTATAAGGGGGAGGTGCTGTTAATCATTTCATTTTAAATGTTTTGTGGTGAATGAATAAAATAAAGTATAGAAGACAGTATCATGTAATCCCTATGACAGAGGAGGATAAGATGAGACATGATTCTCGATCACTTGTGAATTATGTAGTAACACCTTCAAAAAATTTCCCAAAACAAACGTAAACATCATGACCACACTTTAAATTTCAATAATTATATTGGAGCCTATTGTGGGCGTTGTAATTTGCAGTGTAAAAATAAGAGTGAGAAATTATTACTTTTTTGTCTTTAAAATGTCGTATGATTAGGAATAATTTTAAAGAATTGCAGGTTTATAAAAAATGAAATTAAACTTCATTCGAAACAAGGGTTCAAATTCTTGAAAGTAACATAAGTAAGGTTAGGTTTCAAGACTCTCCGTCTTTATTGAATGGGTCTCTTTCCACTTTAGCAGAAAACATATATCAAGGCAGGTAAATCACTGAAATTACAGAGAGTTTCTGAAAGATGTGCCTCGAGATGTCTTACCTTTATTATGTAAGGAAAACAAATTTTGTGTTATGATTATATTGATAGTTTAAAAGAAGCTCGATGAAACAAAATTACCGAGTAAAGATCATTTTTTTAATTCTTTGAGAAATAGCGCTATCAGCCAAGAAGATTATGAACATGCATTTAAAGTGTTTGAGTTGGGGAAATGTAAGACTTTGGAGATTACTTGATGTTATATCTCAAAACGATGTTGGATTGTTAGCCGATTCTTCATGGAGTGGCGTAAAACACTCAAAGATATTTATAAGCTAGACGTTAGTAATTATATAAGTTTACCATCATTCAGTTGGGGTGCATTCCCATTTTAAAACTAATGTAAGATTAGATATGATATATTCCCATGAATATATGACTTGATTAAAAGGAATCTCAGAGGAGGGTTTACGTGTGCAATTAATCAGTATTCTAAAAGCAGATAATCCCCTAATTAACCCCAATTTTGATGTTGAGAGTGGAATGGGCACTCATATTTATATCTAGATTTTAATTCTTTGTATGCTAGTGCGATGGTTGAAGCTCTTCCACAGAATGGTATCAGAAAATTATCGAATGACGAGAAGAATCTTTCCTCGATGTGGGATTTAAATAATGTTTGATGTGAAGGTCAAAAGGGATATTGGATAGAATGTGATACCAAGCCCATGTCCCTGAGGTAGCTAGGCCACTGATGAACTTCCTTTGATATTATCACACATGAATATATCAGCAGAGATGTTATCTCCTTATTGTGAATCTATATTTAAAAATGAAGCTAGAAAGATCCCCCAAAACTAATGGGGAAAATTAGTGGGGAGTATTTACCTCAGAAAAATTATTTGATCAGTCTATGAATTGTTACAGTTATTACTGGAACTTGGGTTAGAGGTGGAAAAGGTTCATACCCTATATGAATATCACAGACAAAATTTTTAGAAACCTTTCATATCAAATAATATTTTCACAGAGAACAGCTACAAGATGTCCTATCAAGTCAAAAGCCTTCAAATTAACTAATTTAAAGCCATATATGGGAATCATTGTTTAATATTACAAAATATGCTGAGTCTTATAGTTATATCAATAATGAGAAAGCATTTGTTTTGAGCGAGTAAAGATCCTTTCTTAAAAAATTTTCACACATTTGAATCAAGACAGAGTGATTTGTACATTCAATAAAGATATATTAGAAGTTAAACAACCACTTTATCTCGGTTTTCAAATTCTTGAGATAGCTAAAAAGAAATTGTATCATTTTTGGTATAAAGTTTTAAAACAGCATTATGGTGATGATGTAAGACTTCTTTATACCGATACCGACTCGTATATTTTTAGCTTGAAATGCAAAGATTTGTACACCGAGTTAAAAAGTGAACCTTTGTTAGGATATATGCATTTTTCAAATTTCAGTCCTGATCATCCCTTATATGATAATAGTAGAAAAGGTGAGCTGGGGTTATTGAAATCTGAAATGTGTGATAATCATATTAGTGAGTTGATAGCACTGAAACCTAAAATGTATTCTGTCAAGATTGCTGGAAGATCAACTACTGTCAGCAGAGCCAAGGGTATCCTGCCACATTTTATGCCATTATTAACACTTGCAAGATATAAGAATGTTTTAACAAATGTAGATAGAGAATTATTCACGTGTAAGTCTATAAGTAACGTAAAAGGTGAAATATGTACAGTAAGAATTAACAAGAGAGGTTTGTCAGCCTTTGATGATAAAAGATATCATTTGAATACTAATGAATCCTTGGCTTATGGACACCCTGATATTCTGCCATCTAAACGTAGGAGAATAGAGTGATTCTCATCTTGTATTACCAGAAATGTAATGGTTGTATAATAAATAAATAATGAAAAAAATATTGTGCATTAGTGTTATCCTGAAATGTGAAATTATTTGGGTTATCCTGGGTTAAGAGCGAAAATGTTTTCCCTATGTTGTATATGAAATGCGTAGGGGTAAGTCGACAAGATTCAGCCTGTGTGTGTGTGTGACGTCACTGACATAGGGAGAAGTCGACAAGATTCAGCCTGTGTGCGGGGTCATCACGTGACGTCACTGACATAGGGGGAAGTCGACAAGTTTCAGCTTGTATGTGTGTGTGTGACGTCACTGACATAGGGGGGAAGTCGACAAGATTCAGCTTGTATGTGTGACGTCACTGACCGCCGAGTAAACACGCTTTTTAGTTCATTTAACTTAATGAGAGGAATACTTGTTTAGACCAGTAGTAAGAGAGAGTACCATAGGAGGAGTTCAATGCTTACCCCCAGAGGGGGGAATCCAAAATCTTGATCCGAGGAAGTAGAGTCTTTGTATTATCGAGAAAAAAAAATTGGGATGCAAGTGGGAGTCCATTTTGAATGCTTATACCCAGAGGGGGAATCCAAAAAACTCGATCCAAGGAGATGGAGGAGAAAAACTTGATCCAAGGAGATGGAGACTTTGATTTCGAGAAAATTTGATCCGAGGAGAGCAAAAGAAAATTAAAAAAAAAAATCGGAAAAAATTCGGGGGGCGGGGGCGATCCGGACGACGCTGCAGAAGGCGCAGCAAAAGGCGCGGGCAGGCGCGAAGGGTGGGCGCGACGGGGCGCGGCAGGCGTGAGGGTGCAGCGGGGCACGGGGGGCGCGGGTGGGGGCGCGGGTGGGGGCGCAGGCAGGCGCGGGTGGGGGCGCGGGCGGGGGTCGTGGGTCGTGGGCGGGGTCAAGGTCATTAGCACATAGGTGTGAAAAAAGGTCATTAGCACATAGGTGTGAAAAGGGAGCCATCAGCCGCAGCCCTTTCAGGAGGAAGCCACTCAGGAAGAGCCACTCAGCCCCCAAGCCACTCAGCCGCAGGGGTCACTGAGCCGCCTTCATCACTACTTATATATATATTTATATATATATATAATTATATATATATATATATATATATATACATATTATTATATATATATATTTATATATTTATATTATATATATATATATATATATATATATACATATATATATATATATATATATATATATATATATATATATATATATATATATATATATATAAACATTATATATATATATTATATATATATATATATATATATATATATATATATATATATATATATGTATATATATGTATATATATGTATATATATATATATATATATATATATATATATATATAATATATATATATATATATATATATATATACATATATATGAAAGGAAGGCGGGGTAGGGTGGGCCCTAGGAAGGGTTGGAGGGAGGGGGTAAAGGAGGTTTTGTGTGCGGGGGGCTTGGACTTCCAGCAGGCATGCGTGAGCGTGTTTGATAGGAGTGAATGGAGACAAATGGTTTTTAATACTTGACGTGCTGTTGGAGTGTGAGCAAAGTAACATTTATGAAGGGATTCAGGGAAACCGGCAGGCCGGACTTGAGTCCTGGAGATGGGAAGTACAGTGCCTGCACTCTGAAGGAGGGGTGTTAATGTTGCAGTTTAAAAACTGTAGTGTAAAGCACCCTTCTGGCAAGACAGTGATGGAGTGAATGATGGTGAAAGTTTTTCTTTTTTGGGCCACCCTGCCTTGGTGGGAATCGGCCGGTGTGATAATAAAAAAAAAAAAATATATAGGTAGTAGGTTGGTAGACAGCAACCACCCAGGGAAGTACTACCGTCCTGCCAGATGACTGTGAAACAGAAACCTGTAACTGTTTTGCATGATGGTAGGGTTGCTGGTGTCTTTTTCTGTCTCATAAACACGCTAGATAACAGGGATATCTTGCTACTCCAACTTACACTTTGGTCACACTTCACAGACACGCACATGCATATATATATACATACATCTAGGTTTTTCCCCTTTTTCTAAATAGCTCTTGGTCTTCTTTATTTCTTCTATTGTCCATGGGGAAGTGGAAAAGAATCTTTCCTCCGTAAGCCATGTGTGTCGTATGAGGCGACTAAAATGCCGGGAGCAATGGGCTAGTAACCCCTTCTTCTGTAGACATTTACTAAAAAAGAGAAGAAGAAAAACTTTATAAAACTGGGATGCTTGAATGTGCGTGGATGTAGTGCGGATGACAAGAAATAGATGATTGCTGATGTTATGAATGAAAAGAAGTTGGATGTCCTGGCCCTAAGCGAAACAAAGCTGAAGGGGGTAGGGGAGTTTCGGTGGGAGGAAATAAATGGGATTAAATCTGGAGTATCTGAGAGAGTTAGAGCAAAGGAAGGGGTAGCAGTAATGTTGAAGGATCAGTTATTGAAGGAGAAAAGAGAATATGAATGTGTAAATTCAAGAATTATGTGGATTAAAGTAAAGGTTGGATGAGAAAAGTGGGTCATAATAAGCGTGTATGCACCTGGAGAAGACAGGAATGTAGAGGAGAGAGAAAGATTTTGGGAGATGTTAAGTGAATGTATAGGAACATTTGAACCAAGTGAGAGAGTAATTGTGGTAGGGGACCTGAATGCTAAAGTAGGAGAAACTTTTAGAGAGGGTGTGGTAGGTAAGTTTGGGGTGCTAGGTGTAAATGATAATGGGAGCCCTTTGATTGAACTTTGTATAGAAAGGGGTTTAGTTATAGGTAATACATATTTTAAGAAAACGAGGATAAATAAGTATACAAGATATGATGTAGGGCGAAATGACAGTAGTTTGTTGGATTATGTATTGGTAGATAAAATACTGTTGAGTAGACTTCAGGATGTACATGTTTATAGAGGGGCCACAGATATATCAGATCACTTTCTAGTTGTAGCTACACTGAGAGTAAAAGGTAGATGGGATACAAGGAGAATAGAAGCATCAGGGAAGAGAGAGGTGAAGGTGTATAAACTAAAAGAGGAGGCAGTTAGGGTAAGATATAAACAGCTATTGGAGGATAGATGGGCTAATGAGAGCAAAAGGCAATGGGGTCGAAGAGGTATGGGGTAGGTTTAAAAATGTAGTGTTGGAGTGTTCAGCAGAAGTTTGTGGTTACAGGAAGGTGGGTACGGGAGGGAAGAGGAGCGAGTAGTAAGGGAGAAAAAGTTAGCATATGAGAAGTTTTTACAAAGTAGGAGTGATGCAAGGAGGGAAGAGTATATGGAGAAAAAGAGAGAAGTTAAGAGAGTGGTGAAGCAATGTAAAAAGAGAGCAAATGAGAGAGTGGGTGAGATGTTATCAATAAATTTTGTTGAAAATAAGAAAAAGTTTTGGAGTGAGATTAACAAGTTAAAGGGCCTAGAGAACAAATGATTTGTCAGTTAAAAAATGGGAAAGGGGAGATTTTATCAAATGGGGTTAGAGGTATTGGGAAGATGGGGGGAATATTTCGAGAATTGTTAAAAATTGAATGAAAAAGGGGAAGTTTTGGGATTTCGTGTATGGCAAGGGGAGTAACATCTTGTAGGATGGGGAAAGAGCAGTTGTAGTGGGGGGGAAGTTCGGGGGGCATGGGTAAAATAAAGGGGGAAAGGGCACCCGGGGATTGAGGGGAAAAAAGATAGAAATTTTAAAAAGCAGTGGGGTTTTTTTTGGAGGGGTTGGTGCAATATTTAATAAATGATGGAAAAGTAAGGTACCTGGGAATTTTGGGCAGAGACTCTAGTCCTTTGTTAAAGAAAAGGGGCAAAAAGTGCAAAAAATGGGGGGATAATTTGTTAGATACCGGGTAAAGTGTATGGAAGTTTTTATTGAAAAATTTTAAGATAAACGGAAAAAGGTAGCAGATGAACAAGGGCTTTGGGAAAGGTAGGGGGTTTTTTGGGGCCAGGTGTTTACAGTGAAACAATAGTAAACGAGTTAGAAAGGGCTAAAGAGGTCTTTGTGGCATTTAGGGTTTTGGGAAAAAGGGGTTATGAAGGGGGGATAGGGGGAAAATGTGGCAATGTTGCGGTGTATGGGGTGGGGAGGTGGGTTTGCAAAAAGCTGAAGATTTTTTTAAGATAGTGAGGCCAAGTTGGGGAAAATTGTGGAAAGGGGGAAAATTTATTCCCATAAAGTGGCCTTAACAAGGATTGGATGTCACCTGGTTGCTTAATATATTTTAGATGGGGTTTAAGAAAGTAAATCGAGGGTTTTGGGCAAAGGCTGGAGTTAAAAGAAAAAAAAACCACATAAAGGGGGAGCTGTCAATTTCTCTTTGGATGACACTGTGCTTTTGGGAGATTCTGAAAGAAGTTGCAGAGTTTGGGTGGATAAATTTGGTAGGGATGAAAAAGAAAAAATTAAAAGTGAATACGGGAAAGAGAAAGGTTATGAATAACAAAAAGATTAGGTGATGAATATTGGATACAGTTTGGAGGAGAGATATGGAGGGGGTGGTTTTTAAGATTTTTGGGGGAGGGGAGTTAGGGGTTGATCAGAAAAAAGGGGGTGAATCATAAAATTAGGGGGAAAAGGGTGGGGGTTTTTGCATTTAGAGTCTGGGGAACAAAGAATTTTGCCCTTGGGGGCAAAGAGGGGAATGATAAATTTAAGTTTTACCAATGCCTTTTAAGGGTGTAAGCATGGGTAGATTGTTGCAGCGGGAGAAGGCTGGGGGCGTGGAGATGCCCAGGTCTGGGGGAAAATGTGGGTGTGAAAAAATGCAGAAAATTCAGCTGGAAGTTAGGAGGGGGTGCGGGATTACCAAAACTTTTGTCCACGGGGTGGGGAAAGGGGTTGTTGAGGGGTTTGGGACATTAGAAAAATGGAGCAAAACAAGTGACTTCAAGAGTGTATCATTGTATGGAAAAAGGCGGGTAGGGGTCGGCCTAGGAAAGGGTTGGGGGGGGGGGTAAAGGATTTTTTGTTGTGCGAGGGGCTTGGATTCCAGCAGGATGCTG